TGAGAAAATTATAATGACATGGATGAAAGAATTTGGAACATTTTTTCCATCCTACAAGGATACACAAAACAATTAATGTGTTCATGAGGAAAAGTCGGTAGAACCATTTTATCAACTCCCTTAACAACACATAATAGACTGAATAATGAAACCCACATTTAATGAGAAACAGCAACAGACAAACAAATTGAAGAAACATGATTAAACCAAATTGAAACAGCAACATCTGAAGGTTATTTCGAATGAAGTTCCCTTATAACATCAAAGTAACATTCGTCCTTCACTCTCAAAGATCGAGGATTTAAATTGTAATTAGGGACTACCATCCAAAACCAACAACAATCAAAGCCCCAAAACCTTCTAGGTAACTAGTTTCGAATCAACACCTTCCTAGCTCAATAGAAAGCATCCCCTCTACCAAACATTATCTACATGAATCAAACCTTACCCCAAACACCAATCACCCAATAGTCTTCTAAATGTATATCACTAGTTAAATTAGGGTATTATCAAATGAACATCAGAAGCCATATCTGCATCCTCACCCAACCAGCAATAACCAACCCATCGCTAGGGGTTGATGCTGCTAATCCACACTCATTGCATCGTCCATCTCATTTTGAAATGAACAATCAAACATGAGGCAATAATAAACACTTCTGCACCATGTGTCAGAGAATCAGCTACCTCCTATTAGACCTCTTGCACGTATAACACCAACATTAGATCGACCATGTTTTAAAACATGTTATTGAACAAAAATCACCAATTAAAATAAGACAAACATGTATTAACTACTTTATTAGTGACCCAATACCAAACCCATAAATTTGCTAAAGTGAATATTTCTACATTCGGAAAAAGGATTTCTTTGCTTTTATTCCAAATATGTTGCTTCCTTACCTTACCTTTACACATACGAAAGTTGGCCGTGGTAAACCAAATCAAATATCTTTCCTCCACTGCAGTCTATCTCCTATATGATTATGTCATACAAATTCTATTATTTCACATGCGTCAATCTTATGTAAGAAATATTCCACTATTCAAATGAAATAAAAAACTATACTATAGTCATTTATTTATACCCTATAATTTTCTCTATAGTTTTTGTTTTACTAAGAACTCATGTTTTCCTCTATATTCCATTGAATAACATTTTAACAGTATTGATCCTTCAACACGAAGGTAGTTGTTGATATAGGAAGAATATTTTTTTGAATGCTTGGTTGAACTTTTCTTTCTTGTGTAAAGGCAAGGAAGAATATCTTACTTCCTCAAACCCTCTAATACCACTTGTTGAGTGTTTTGAGAGGGATTTACTAGGGAGTTACAACATCAATGAGATATGAGTCCAACCCACATAAGGGATTAATACCACTCTCAATAAAAAACCTTAAGACTTTAAGTTATGAGTCATACTTCCTTACCTTATATGTTGCTCAACTTTCTTATTTTTATCGAATGTGGGACTTAAAATCACACTTGTATTTCCTAACGAGTGTCAACGGGGTGGTTAGTTGAAGAAACATCCTACGAGATATATATAGTATATATATATATATATATATATATATATATATATATATATATAATTTAGAAAGAATAATAAACTCTAAATATAATATTCATTTACTTTGGTCATCCTTCTCTCTGTTGTTGTCGTCACGCTTTTAAAGACCAATAATTTAAGACGATATATTTTTAAACGTAGGATATTTCCAAAGTATTAAATTTATTTATGTTGAGTATGATGGAGTTTGGGAGATAAATAAAGTTTTAAATCTTAATTTTAAACTAATTACTAGAAACACTTTAATTACGAGAGGTTTATAAGATGTATTTAACAAAAAAAATTAAAAAATGTGTTATATAATATTTTTGGTAAGATATTTTAAATCAATTATTAGAAATACTTCAATTACAGATGTTTATAACGTGTATTTAACTAAACAAAAGCTAAAATATATGTTATCTAATTTTTTTCAGTAGGATATGTTTGACTTACGGTGGATGGACAATTATAACTCCTTCGGGCTACATATAACATCTCATTTTTATGATTTTATATATTTGATTTTATTTTTTATTTTGTCTTAATAGGTTGAGTTAATTTTAAATAAACAAATGAATGACATAATTTTTTTTAAACAAAATTAAAAAAAGAATTATATAAATAAAAAATTATTTTTAATTAGGTAAAAAATGGTCTATTAGCCCGTTGGCCTAACGTAGGACTAGACTAGGTCAAAAAATTTGGTCCGTTTTAAAATATAGGTCAGGCTGAGTCATTAAGTTTTTTTACTTGGCCCGTAGGGCCAAAACAAGCTAGACCGCACGTTTTGACAGCTCTACCCAAATTAACAATTTTGGAAAAATCAGATTAAGTTTCATATTTATTTTTCGGAAACATATTCCGGAACACCTATTTGGGAACATCTTTGATAAAGCCAATATGAAAATGCATTATAGATTCGATGTTCCGGAATATCTTTTCAAAAAAATCAATCCAAAATTACATTTTGAAAAAAAAAATCTAGAAATATATCGAAAAGTGGGTTTGATAATACATTTCCAGAATTAGTTTTTCAAAAATATATTTTGGATGGGTTGGTTCAAAATATACTTCTAGAATATGTAATCCAGAAGTATATTTCAGACTTACCAATCTAAAATGCATTTTCAAAATATTAATTTTAAAAATATATTTTGTAACCTACTTTTTAGAACATGTTTATGGAAAAAGAATTTTGGAACTGTATTTCCAATTTCCGAAACGGATTTCAGCCAAAAATCTTATTAGTAGGATTTAAAAAATCATATATTTAAAAGTTAAAAAAATCATAAATAAACACTTATAAAGATAAAAATAGTTATAAGGGTAAAATAAAATTTTACTTAATAATGGGATGCTGGAAGAAATTATAAAAGTTCCGAAAGAAAGTGCCTACTTTATTTGCAAATTTGATCCTTATTTTATTTTATTTTTTTTAATAAAGGGTCGTGATTTTGGTGACTCTGGAAATGCCATCTTTGTGCTTTTTTTGTTGGATAGATGCTGAATGTCTTAGCGAGATTGAGTTCGGGGAAGGAGACGAAGCCCCTGCAGCTATAGATGGGTCCGTGAGATACACATGCACATCAGGGATTCGTCTTTATTTTGAGAGACACAAAAGTGTAAGATTCAACGTAAATTTATATATTATATATTGACATTGGAATTTAATCGACGAAAAAATATAAAATAACATAAAAAAGAATTTCTTATATAATAATAAATTATATGAGAGAAAAAGAGAAAATTATTTCTTGATTTGATATATTGAGAACCATAATTTAACTTATCTTTGATAATTAATTAGATCTCTCAGTAATGAAGTCTACTTATTAAACTCTTATCGATACTCGTTAGCAATCTAATGAGTTCATTAATTATATTATTTATATTGAGTCCATATACATGTAAATAATTAATATAAATATTATAATAAATTATGTAATCCTCATTAACCAATTATAAATTATAATTTTTTTAATAATCTCCTATTTAAACTTCAAATAATTAAACATCTGTATAACAAAATTCTTTAAAAGAGTGAAATCTTACGTTATTTACTTTAAACATTTTCTATTCAATTTGGTTCGTCTCATAAAATAGTAAGTATAAATTTGTGTATACTCTTGACAAATTGATAATTTTTTGCATCTTAATTTTTTTTTAGAGTATTAAAAACATGAAAAACACACACACACACAAAAAAAAAGGGTTTAGTGTTGATTTTCAAACTTATTTTGTTTTAGGGTTCCCCTTCAATATTGGATTAAAACCCAATGGAAAACAAAAGTAGCAAGAACTTGACTGATACTAGTCGAATTCCTTCATGGTTTAACCTAGAGAGGAAAAATGGAAGAAAGTAGGGGAAAAAAAATTCAAACAAACTTAACACTATAAAGTAGTATTTTATATATATATATATATATATATATATATATATATATATATATATATATATATATATATATATATATATATATATATATATATATATATATATATATATATATATATATAGTGTGGAACTTCGTTTCTCCACCTTGAGAAATTTGAATTTTGGATGAGATAAAAAAATGAGAGAGTTGGTAATTTTATAAAAGATGATGATAATGTAACGTAAAATATCCATTCAATCGACAATTATCATTAATAATATAATAATAATTATTATATTAATAAAAGTAATTAGGAAGAAAAAACTAGAAAAATACTATATTGACTACTTTTATAATAAAAACAATCAAATAATAATTTTTTTACTTTTTTTTATTATTATTAAAAAGTTTGTTAAATGAAAAATATTTATTTAACAACCCATATATTTATCTTACAATCCATTATAATAATATTATATTAATTTTTTGTAGTGTTGGTAGGTGTTCCGTTGTTAAAATATCAGCTGTTGTTGAATAGTGATGAGTCATTATATTCCCGTATTTTCTTCCCTTTCTGAACTTATTTTAATTAGTGTTTTGGGCTTAACTTTCTATTATTAGTGAATTTTTATTAATTGGGCTTCATTAGGCCAATAATTAGATTTTAATTAATTTAAATCTATTTGATCTAATTTTTTTCATTATTAATTTTAGGACAGTTAAAGCAATTTTGGGCCTAAAAGATTGGGTTAGATGCTATTTTACAGTTTAAAGCAATTTTGGGCTTGGAAAATTGGGTCAAATGTCATATTTTATTCTATACGAGTACTAACATTGATTTACTGTTTTATTTATCATTTTTTTACAGATCTCCAAAAATCATTATTTTCAAAACATTATAAACTAGACACATTCAGCTTTCCATAGGATCCAAAATCATTCGGAGATAAATTGGATTTTACATAAATTATCCAACACATTTCATCCCCGTTCCCCTTCTTAAGGCGGAAACATCAAGCCCAATCAGAGAAACAACTAATGTACTATCCGACTAAGTACTTGTAAGAAATTTAAGTACCCTGATATTCATAAACTATACTCTCTCTTTTTTTCTTTCTCTTGTTCATAATTTCGACTTTGGTGTTGATCCATACTTCTTCCGCGGCAATGTGGAAACCATCGCCATAGTTGTTAAAGCAGCTTTCGTATGCACAGCCATTGTCAGTGGTTGCACCCCTGTAAGCTTGTATCCCCGATGCGTAGTTGTTATAGGAATTTTTACTTTTAAGACTATTCACGCTACAATAGTTGTAATCTTGCTTCCCATCGCCATAGTTGTTAAAGCAGTTATGCATTCCATAGCCGTGGTCAGCAAAATTGTCAGTTTCCAAGGGATTATAGGGAGAAATATCGAAGCAGTGATCCCCTTTGTAGTTATCAAGTTGGTTAGGGTTATTGGTTTCTTTGCTCCCTCTTACCATCTTGTTTGATTGACCTGTCTCTTTATCACTCCCATTGGAGCTAATATTTCTTTTCCTGCGGTAAACATCGGTTTCTTCTCCCTCGTCCGTACCGTTTAATATTTCCTTTTCCCGTGGAAAAGTGGAACTAGATAGAAATTCACAGACCATAAATCCTAGAGATATAACCCGCCAAAGCAACTCATAGAAAACTGAGAGAGTTCTGTCAACCAAGCAAAGCAGAAATTCACGCAAAATAACGAATACGAAATTTTCACCAATTGGCGCGTCCAACGAGAGTTCTGCAAAGAGAAATAAATAAAGCAGATGAGTCACAAATTTTGTGAGCTTGAAGCACAAAGGGTGATCAAGGATTACTCTTATTCTACTAATGCAAATTTGAATGAAGATGAAAAATGGATTCTAGCAAAAGTGAAGACTGAAAATATTCATGCTGTAAATATGAATGAATCCACGTAAAGAAATGGATCTACCTGCATGTTCCATGGATTGGGTTTTGCCCCTGGTGGTTGAAGCTCTGGAATTTGATGCCTACATCAAGAGTTCTCATATCATCAGCAAAAAAATTTCTGGGTAGAAGAATAATCGGGTATTTTATAAGCGTATTATAACATGTTATAAATTACATAGTACAAGTGTGTGGTGTATAAACTATATATTTAGGTTAACAAAAAACTCATGCATTTTATATATGATTTCACTTTTATTTTGTAATATATTATTTTTATGACTTGTTTAGTTGGGAAATAGGTGGAATAAAGAATATGCTTAAAAAAGATCATGCGTTTAAGCATGATTTCACCATTTTCTTTTTTGTATTATATTTAGGAGTATGACTTATTTTAACGGGAAATGGTTGTAAGAAAGAAAGAGAGAGAATTTAAAACGTGAAAAATATGTATGACAGGATTAGGGGTGGAAAATAAAAGGAGAGACACAAAATAACTGATGAAGAAAGAAATGAGTGGGAAAATGTAATAGGGAAACAACAACAAAATATCCTTATGTAATGGAAATTGCACGTATGTAATGAAATAATTTTTCAAAACGAATTTGTGAATAATAATAATAATAATAATAAATTATAAGAATAATTACAAAAGAAAATATCAGTATTTTTAATATGGAAAACTTTTGAATATAAGAAATAAAACTTCACAAGAACAAGTTAGTCATCAAGTTCTTCTAAGATAAAAAAAATTGTACAAAAGAGTTAAATCAAATGTATAAACATGTGTTTATTAACAATGCATCAAAACAATAATATTGAATATAATAATATTATTGAAGAATACTTAAAGGGGTTTCCAAATATGAGAAGAAGATAATGAATAAAGAGGTTAACATGGAGAAAAATATATATTATAATGTAAGATTCATTTTCAACATCTATTCCTTGAAAAATGACATAAGATTTGTTTTAAAAGTGTAAGATCTAGTTCGAAATCATACAAGATCTCTTTCTATCTCATTTGATAGATGAGATCAAAACCATACAAAATCTAAAAGTAAAATTTTATGTTGATTACGATATTCTTCGATATAAATTTATGATTAATTATTTTAAAATAAATTTACATCTTTCATGTTAAGAATAGATGCATTGGTTGAATAAACCAAAAATGACAACATAGGGGTGCAAAAGAACCCTACTTTATTTGAATAACAAGAACTGAACAGCTAAGCCCCAAACAAGGCAACAAGCTTGAGATTTTGGTGCTGGGGTTTCTCTATATTGTTCGATGCTTGTGGATCTTCCAACCAAGTAATGTCGCAGTAGTACTAACAATATTAGGTTCAGGTTATAAAAAGAGAGAGAGATAAAAGTAAATTAAATATAGCTATATATGTAATTAGTGACAGTGATATATACAATGATGAAAAATAAGAAAACATTCTTTAGATGCAAGCTTGAGAACGCAAACCTTAGCTGAATTCTGCTTCATACTTTCTTCTTAAATCAGAATATGCAACCGGATCAAAGAGAAGAAGAGGAAGCCTCCACACTAAGAGAGAGAATATGGAAGGAATATGCATTGGAGTCATCATGAAGACTGCCACCATCTTTACTACCTTCGGATTTACTAGATTCTCAGCCGTTGGATGGATGCATTTAATTTTTATGTTAATATTTTCTTATACCCAAAGTTTTCAAAGAGAAATATACGTAAAACATTACCATTTTAAATGTTCCAATCATAATTTTTAATCTAGTTGGGTGTACTATTGTCTTACTCGAGAGTTTCTGTAATGGAGAGAGAGATTATAATTGAATACATACTAAGTTTGAAAAATAAAAAATGAGCTTAATGACAATTATTAGCATATTAATGCATGGCATCTTTTAGAAATTTCATGCAAATTATATGTTAGTTAACGCATATTGAGTATACATATATAGCTAAAATTTTAAACTCTTAACAGAATTTGACTCTAGAAATTGTGACACACAATTTTTCATGTATAAAATATGTCAATTAAGCACCTACATGGTACCTTTTACTTATTTTTATTAGTTATTATACTAGTTAAAGTGATTCAGCGCAGAATTAAACTATTATTTTTGTTATCCACCTACATTACTATCAATGTTGTACGTGGACATTGTCTTCAAATTTAATTATTTCAATATTTTTTTTATAATACAAAATTTTAAGTTTTATCATTTCCGATATAGGTATGTCAATATTAAACATAAAACCTTATTATTTATAATTATTTTAGAAGTTTAACTGGGTAATTGTTATTTGTACATCTTTATTAGATTAATTTGGAAATAATTATTTGATATTTTATATATTTTTACACTTTTGATTATTCCTTCAGTAAATGTGATCTTTAAGTTACTTGGGTTTAAGCTGTCCAATTATTGGTCTTAAGTTTATTCATTGAAAACAACAATGAATACTTAAGAGAAATATTTTTGGACCACATAAATCAAACCTGATTGAAGATATTCATTCCTAAAAATAAGAAAATAAGTGTCATTTTGCAAAATGCATGGATTAATTAATTAACACAAGTTAGAAATACAATAAACGTCATCTTGTTAATTTATTACCCACCAAAGTTTATCTGAACTAAATATTGATAAGACAGGGATTGGATTCAAAAAGATAGTAGAACCAAATTAATAATAATAATAATAGAATATAGTCTATGTTTTTGGTCACTGTATAATAGTATCTTTATACAAACGCCGAAAGAATGCTATAATAAAATGAGTCAAGTCTTTTTAGTCACAACTACCACCCCGCCACACGAAGAATAGAAGCAATGATGCAACTAAAGTTGCTAGTGGATATGGCTTCCTCCCATGTTTTCTTTTGACCTTTAGCCTTAAGTTAATAAAAAGAAGTGTGCACATATCGACAGGATCTACAAAGTTCAAGATTTCAGATCTACAAAATGCCCTACTTTAGTAGTGTGCCTTCGTTGATGTGTCACTGTTTCTTTTAATAACAATCCATTTTTTATTTTATTTTTTTAGTGTTACATGTATTTTCTTTAGGTCCGATATAATAGCAAACCCTATTATTTTGGTGAAGATCTTATAGTTATCTTAATTGAGTATCATTGCAAAGTAGAAGATTTTATAGTGTATTTTAATGGTTTTTGTCTATGGGATTGGTAGCCCCCATGTACCAATATATGTTATTTTTTTTTTTGTTGCAACAACAAAAAAATATATAAGCTTATCCAAATGATGGATTTCTAATTAATTAATCATTAATTTTATAAATATTTTATTATATCAATCAGCATTCAACTAGTATTTTTTAAATGAAAATATTTATCATAAATAAGTATAAGGCATGCCATGAATGGAGAATCACCAATGCAAACTATGTTTTTTAATTAGTTTTTTCTCATCGGATTAATAATTATTTGACTTAAAACAATGTTATGATATTTTTGAAATTAAAGTAAACTATTTTACATCGATCTTCATATGATTCCACTTAAAATACGTTTTATAGATTTTTTACGATTTTGTCTTTCTTGTATGTACGAAGATTTTCTTTTGAATAATAACAACAACGCAAAGGTCTTCTTAAAAAAATTTCAACTACAATAAGCAGTGGAGACATCATTATTGTGATCCATTTATGATTTTGAATATTTCTTCCTAATTGTATTGGATCTTGTACTAATATGACATAAATTTATACCGTTAATTATTTCAACGTAAATTTATATCTACTGTATTGACATCAAAGCTTAATTAAATATAAAAAGCCTAAAAACTAAAAACTCTCGTATGTGTAGTCATATTATAGTATATATCATGTCCCATAGTTTCAAATAAACATAACAACAACTTAATTATTAATCCCCGACGTATTATCAACTCGCTAAATTATCAAGCCTAATGAGGAAAAACGAACAAACAAATTGAAGGAACATGATTAAACCATATTGAAACAACAACATCACAAGGTGATCCAAATTGAGTTCCTTGAAAGAGCATATTGAAACAACATAGTAACATTCCCTTCACCCTTCTACTTATTATAGGATTTAAATTGTAATTAGCTAATTGCATCCAAAACCAACAATAATCAAACAAGGTTCCCATCAACAACTTCTTACGTGTACAGAAGCATCCCCCATACCATACTAATGTGAACCAAAACCTACACGAACCACTCAAGAGACTTCTAAAAGTATACCCACACGATACTATGCAAATTAGGATATTATCGGTTGAACATAGGAGCCATATTTGCATCCCCATCCAACCAATTGTTAGAATAAAAAGCTGAATTCAAGAGAGGGATGAATTAAACTTTGAATGATTTTTCTGACCTAAGAATGAATATTTTTATCCAATCAATTTGTTAAAGATAAGGTATTCAATCATACAATGTTAAGATAATAACAGCAAGATAAGCATTGGTCCCGGAACATATATTCATAGTATAATGGTTATCATACCTATTCTTTTTCTCTCTTTCTTGGATGCTCATTACCACTTTGGTGTTCATTCATTGCTTTCCCCCGGTAAATGATGAAACGGTCCAAGTTTTGCGTTCCGTTCTTTCCCTTGTTGTTGTAGCTGTGACGAATTGCAGAACCGTTGTCCCTGTCGTTGAGTTCGTTAGAGTCGTCTCGATTGTCAATCGTTCCACGCCTGTAAGTTTGTGAGCCTAAGCTGCTGTTGTTAAAGGCATCTTCAGTTTTAGAAGTGTAAATGTTTGCATGCCTGAAAGCTTGTATGCCCGATGCGTAGTTATTATAGGAATTTTTAGTTCTAAGACCATTCACCCTACAATGGCTGTAATTTTGTTCCCCATCGCCAAAGTTGTTAAAGCTGTCATAAGTTCCATGGCCATGGTCACCAAAATTGGCAGTTTCGCAGGGATTATTGGGGGAAGTATCGAAGCTGTGATCCCCTTTGTAGTTGTGATGTTGGTTAGGGTTAGTGGTTCCTTTGCTCCCTCTTACCATCTTGTTTGATTTGCGTGTCACTTTATCACTCCCACTGGAACTACTATTTCTTTTCCTGCGGCAAACATCGGTTTCTTTTCCCTTGCCCTTACCGTTTGATATTTCCTTGGTTTTCCGTGGCGAAATGGAACTAAATAATAAATCTATGAGAATTCCAGCTACAATTAAAAGCAACGAAAAGAACTCACCCATAGCTGATACACATATGCAAATGAAGGAAAGCACAGGTTCTGGAATGGAGAATGGGGAAGCTTCACAAATTGGCGCGTCCAAGGAGAGTTCTGCAAAGAGAAATGAATAAAGCAGATGAATCACAAAGTTTGTAAGTAACAAAAAGGTGATCGAGGATTATCTTCTTCTACTAATGCAAATTTGAATGAAGATGAAGAATGGATTCTAGCAAAAGTGAAGACTGAAAATATTCATACTGTAACATGAATGAATTCATGTAAAGATATGTATCTACCCGCATGTTCCATTGATTTGGTTTTGCCTGTGGTGGGTGAAGCTTTGGACTTTGATGCCTACAACAAGAGTTCTCAAATGATCAGCAAAAAAAATTCTGTGTAGCAGAATAATCGCGTATTTTAAAAGGGTATTATAAAATGTTATAAATTACATAGTATAAGTGCGTGGTATATAAACTATATTTAAGTTCACAAAAAGCTCATGCATTTTATATATGACTTCACTTTTATTTTGCATTATATATTATTGTTATGACTTGTTTAGTTGGAGAATGGGTGGGATAAAGAATATGCTTAAAAAAAGATCGTGCGTTTTATACATGATTATTATATTATTAGGAGTAAAACTTATTTTAACGGGAAATAGTTGTAATAAAGAAAGAGATATAAAAAAGAGAGAGCATTTAAAAGGTGAAAATTATGTATAACAGTTGATTAGGGGTGGAAAATAAAAGGAGAGACACAAAAGTAAAAGATGATGAAAGAAAGGAGTGGGAAAATGCGAGTTAAGGTCAAAATAACATTGTAAGTTGGTAAAAGTTAAAAAATTGCATTAGTGTTTGACTACTACCAAATAAGAAGTCGCTATGATTATTTTGTCTTCCATTAGATTCTTGTAGTTAGGAAATTATTGATTTGAATCAGTCCTAATTATTGTTCACTTTGAGTTACCAAATATTTGATTTCGACCCTAAGATATTACTGATCAACGCCTCTTGGTACAACTGCAATTGCTTGATCCCGAACCCGCAAGAACATTCAAGGAATAGAAAACGGAGGAAACGGGAAACAACTAAGAGAGAGAAAGGGAAATTGAACTGAAATCCCATGAAACGAAACAAAAAGCTTCAGTTTAGTTCCTTGCACAACTAGATCGATATTGTGGGTCAGCATCTAAATCGAAATAGAAGAAAACAAAGCAACATGGAATGCGCCGAAGCAGGAAAACCAGACAGGGAAAAAAAGGAACCTAGGTCAAAAATGTTAGACCGTCCTGCAGAAGAAGCCAAAGTTGACTGGACTGTATCCAGCTATATCACATATAACAGATTGATTCATAGACGATCTTTAGGAATTCTTTGAAATAGTCAAAATTGAACATCATAAAAGGGAAAGACACGGATTCATATTTCTAATTTCTCTTGACTGCATCATTCATTTTGTAAGCAACAAGGTAACAACTCACTACTAATTAACCGCTAAATTAAAAAATTAATGGAGTAACAATAATATATAAACCTATAACCTAAGAATAAAGAGGTCTACTCATTATCCAAACCTTGGTTAACCACTAGTTGAAAGAGAAGTAATTCACCATATTTTTGCTAGAACAATGACAAAATACGGGTGCAATGAACCCTTCTTTATTTGAAGAACCAGAACTGAACACCTTTATATGCCCCAAAACAAGGCAACAAGCTTGATATTTTTGTGCTGGGGATTCTATAAAGTGTTTGATGCTTGTGGATCTTCCAACCAACCAAGTAATATAACTTGCAGGAGTAAAAACAATTTTCTTTGGGTAGAATGAGGTTATAGAAAGAGAGAGATGAAAGTAAAGAATTAAATATAACCTACATAATATGTGATAGTGATATGATGATGAAAAAGAAGAAAAAATTCTTCAGATGCAAGCTTGAGAACGCAAACCTTAACCGAATTCTGCTTCATATTTTCTTCTCTAATCAAAATATGCACTGGACCAAAAGAAGACAAGGCCTCCACACTAACAAAGAGTAGAGAGGGAGAGAGGAAGAGAATATGGGAGGAATATGCGTGTGGGACATCATGAAGGCTACTACAATCTATTTTTATACTTGAAGTCAATGGTCTAATGTTATATTAGCGTTAGTGGATTTTAAGTCTTAGTAAGATTTATAAAGAAAATAATGTTCCCCAAACTTCAAAACTAAAATCGCACTGCGATTTATAAAGAATAAAAAATATAATTAAACTAAAAATTAACAAAGTTATAATATATATCCCAAATTTAAAATTGTAAGAACTTTCTAGAAATAGCAATTATTATTTTCTTAATAAAACTATAAGGACTTTCATATTATTATTTAATTTTTTATTTTCAATACAAACAAAAAATAAGGACAATGAAATTTATAAATTTATTTTTAGTCCCTCTTAACTAACTATCTCTCTTAAGATTTTCACTTCTCACTCCTTCAAATAAAAATTTTTATTCTTTTTACGTGCCATCACTAAGCTTCAACTCTTGTTTCACAGAATTCTTTCATTCCTCATATCACATAACTCCCTCTTGCCCAGACCTCCCACAAGTTCACAAGTTTGAACATCCATTTTCTACATCAAGAGGAGCAACATTTTATCATTTTTCTGAATTTTTCTCTCATTAGTTAATATTCTTTCACGGAGATCATCCCTTTCAGTCTCAACTTCATGTAACCTGTGTTTTAATTGTTCAATCTCCTCTCTCATAAGCTGGAGAGATGATGAAGTAGATTCTTGACAAAGATTTCTCCCAATTGTTTTGCTTAACTCAGATCCAAGCACATATACTTTGCCTTTGTCTATTCTAGCAACTTTACACCAAACCTGTAATTCATCAGGCGAAGAACTTCCTGCAATAGATCCTGACAGGGAGGCTTCTTCCCATGCACGACTAAACTCTGCCTATAAACAATAAAATAGAATAGTTAATTGGATAAAAACATAAAAAAAAGGATATAATTGTTTAAGAAATTAATATATGAAAAAAAATAAAGAACTTACATACACATGTGTTGAACTTTGATCCACCCACGTGTTATCCTTTCCTTTGTGTGTTTTGTGAAACAACTCTGATGGGGTAAGAGGTTTTTCATTCATCTTTGTCTACAATATGGTTAAAAATATAAACTTAGAAGTACAATATCTACCATAAAAGAAAAGAAGTTTGTCAAATCATGACAATATGTAATGTAATAACTATTTTTCTCTTCCAGCATAAACAATACCATGCAATCAAATTTAAACTAACTAATGTTACATTTTTTTCATACCTAAATATAGTCTAAGGGTTCCATAATTTATAAATACATTACAGGTCCAAAAGTACAACATAGGACCAATACATGCATAAACCAATATAAAGCAAACTTTACCAATTTCTCTATATTGAGAAGTGCTAATAGATCTAGCAGTATGGAGTGAAATTCCATGTCTACCACAATCAAAAACTTGATTTGTTTTTGTAGTCAAACTTTTTACTTTGAATTGTTTTGATCCCCAATATTAGCATAAGATATCTCATATATCTTCTGCAAGCCTATTTGGCTTCTTCATTGTCATGTGTGCTCATAAAGAAATATTATACAGTAGAAAGAAGAGGAAAACATAAAATTAGCTTTTATGCATCAATTTTTCTAATAGTATCGTTGGAGGTTTAAAGAGTGGCACTATTTGCTAAGACAAACTAATAGAGTTGGGAGTGAGGGCCTTGACTCACGCAGGCCCAAGATTTGGAGGTGTATACTAGGAGGAACTGGAGTGCGAAAAGAGGAGATGATGAGGCAGTGGGTGTAACTGAATTGCCAAATGCGAGAGATAAATATTGGGATATATATTAAGAGAATTCTGTTATGTGCATAGGGCATTAGCCTCTCTTCTGTGGCAATAGGATCGGTTTCCTTCTGTATTTACTTTTTCTTATTGTATAATACAAAAACCCTGCATTGTTCCTTTGATTACCAGTAGGAGCATATGTGAGGGTGATGACTCCCATGGGGTTAACTTTGTGCAGCATACTCGGGATTGGTTAATGTGAATACTAGGGAAGGCTGCTCCTAAGAGTTCAAATAGTTTTGTATATTTCAATAACCCTTGGTTTCTAGAATGCACTGTTCTGAATGTTGAGGTATGTATTTTATAATGGACGTGAGTTAATGAAGCCATTCCTGCATTCATTCTTGGTTGCTGACCTCTGAAGGGTTTTATGCTCTTTGTTCACTTGCACTGAGGTTAAGACATAGCAAAGTGTTAATTGCAAACACAGTTATCCTCCAAAAATCAATAAATTGTGGACTGTTGGAGTGAGAGAGTAATGTGATAAGAAAGCTTACATCATGATGCCTCTTTAACAAGAGAGCGTGTAAGTCTAACAATTTAAAAGAAAAAAATGAAAAAATAAATAAAAGGGTTATTCATGAGACCTGATCAAAGTGAATTGGAGGACGTCTGCTACCAAAGACTATTCAGATAGTAATGTTCTAAAAAATGAGATTGTAAGTCTAACAATTTAAAAGAAAAAATGAAAAAAATAAATAAAAGGGTTATTCATGAGACCTGAGCAACTCTGCTACCAAAGACACATTCAGTTACACCAGATGTCCCATGATAAGATAAAATTCAAATTCAAATCTATTTTTAGTTTCACTTACATTTTCTTTCACCAACTCTGAACAAGCAAAAAAAAAAAAAAACAATGGAAGATGTACTTCAAGTGTAACAGATGCAACCAACAAGCTTAGGCAGATTTCAGAGTAACCCAGTAAAGTGGTGAAGGTTTAAAGAATGGCACTATTTGCTAAGACAAACTGATAGAGTTGGGAGTGAGGGCCTTGACTCACACGCAGGCCCAAGATTTGGAGGGTGTATACTAGGAGGAACTGGAGTGTGAAAAGAGGAGATGATGAGACACTGGGTGTAACTGAATTGCCAAATGCGAGAGATAAGTATTGGGATATATATTAGGAGAATTCTGTTATGTGCAGAGGGCATTAGCCTCTCTTCTGTGGCAGTAGGATCGGTTTCCTTCTGTATTTACTTTTTTTATTGTATAATACAAAATCCCCTACATTGTTTCCTTTTTCTTTCTGGTCTCTATACAAAAGGAGAATAATAATGCACATGCAAATCAGGGTCTGTTTGTATTATTCAATAACAGAAAGTAAAAACAGAAGGAAAAAAAAGGGAAATCTTTTATATGAAACGGGTGTCATTGTACTAAAATAGCACTGAATCAGATCAACAAGTACATGTACAAGCAGTTGGTTAATATATATCTCATTAGGCAATATAATTGAGTAGTAATCTAAATTATTTAGCTAGTTTTTTCAATTTTAACAAATCACTCTGCTTAAATAACAAAGCGGTTAGCTGAAATGCTGAAATACAAACCAAGACATTCTAACATGAATTAATAACAAGCCAACTGTAAATTCTTAGGATTTTAATCTAGTTTCTGAAAAGATCATTTTCTTAACCATGAAATATATCTACTCAACTAAGATATCAAATTAGTTGACTATTTCCATGAAAACAGTTCACATCATAAAACATTTTCTTGTCAAACAACTAACCAAAACTATTGAGCTTGAAGCACAATATGGCAAATTGACTTTAAGTGAGCATGAATTATCTGAATTTATATATTTCAGAAGTTCATAGTTTATACTTACTGGGATGTATACTCATTCATTTTCAATATACCTATTATTTAAGAGGCACTAGGTCCACTAAAAAATTTGAGTCTTAAAGGCACTACTTTACTGGAATGAGTTATCTGCAATATGATTCTTGCCCTAGAAGTATTTTTATTCTACTCTGCGAAACATAAGAAACTTTTATTCCCATCCCAATTTCCCGTCAATATTCAAACATTCCTTGTTCAAAAGCCACCATAGGATAAATCACACAAAAACTAACAAAATTTTTAAATAGTTCTGATTGTAAACAAACACCAATAAAAGTTTGTTTCTACTAAGTGAAGTCAATCACCTATCAACAAATAACTCCAATTGTACCCAAATAAAAAAAAATAGAAAATTAAATACCTCAGGCAGAGATACCTAGATGACCAAGATAAAATTGACTAAAAAGAAGACTGTCTCATTGGCTTTCTTGTGTTTTCAGGTCGATTGGATTCAAGGCCGTTGAGGTTTGGGTTAGGGTCGGGGTTCGAGATCATTGGAGTTGGGTCGAGATTAGGGTTCGACGTCACTGGGATTTGAGTTAGGGTTCGAGGCTGGGTTTGCATTGGGTTTGACAGGGTTTGCCTTGAGATTGGGGTTCGATGGTGCCGGAATTGGGTTTGGGCCTCAAGTTCGTCGAGGTTGAGGTTGAGGTTCGAATTCGCTTGGGTTTTGATTGGATGTTTTGGTCACTCAGGTTTGAGATTCAAGGTCACTGGATTGGATTTACCGTCATTGGAGGTTAGGTAACGGATGTTGGATTTTAGGCTGCTGTCTTGATATTTCGGCTGAAGATCACTTCCAACAGTGAGCGCGAAGAAGACAGAGAGCCTAGGTCAGATTAAGCTCGAAAAAGATGGTGGGATTCAATAATGAGCGCGAAGAAGATGGACGACCTAGGTCAGATTAAGTTCAAACAAGACGGTGGGATTCAATAGTGAAAACAAAGAAGTTGAAAATTTGGGAGGATAGAGTGACAGAAATAATTAGATGAATTAAATGGCTAGTACATACTAATTAATTAAAAAAATAAATTAAACAAAATATTTTTACCTTTAACATTTTATTCGAAAATAATTTATATAAAAAAAACAACTAATAAAAACTAGTTAATAGAAATAATATGATGTAATTATTATTATAACTGTACTTTTTTCTCTGTCGCATTAATTTCGACTTTGATGTTGATCCATACTTCTTCCGCGGCAATGAGGAGACCATCGCCATAGTTGTTAAAGCAGCTTTCGT